GGAATCCCATGGGGCTGAGCCCCCTGTGGGAGCCCTGCCCACTCTTGCTGCCAGTGGGGTCATATGGCAGGGGCTGTGCAACCCCAGTAAGCGATGTTTTGGAGGGAGGGTGGCAATGGCAGGGGCAGCACCCTCCTCAGGCGGCAAAACAGGGCGGGCCTGTCCCCTGACTATGGTGTCTTCCTAGATCGACTGGGGGGTTGGCGGCACTGTTCTTCAGTGGTTCTGCTCCTAACTGCAGGGCCAGTTCCAGACAGTAGCACTATTGGACCCCAGGCAGTTATGACATGGGTTGCCCAATGGCACTATTTTGTCCCCAGTGCTATTTAGCATCTATATGAAGCCACTGGGAGGCAGTTATTAGGCGATTTTCAGTATGACTTCTTCAGTGTGCTGATCACTTACCAATATTTTTTCTGAATCAGTGGAAGTCCTGAGGCTGGATTGGCTTGGATGCAGTCCTGCCTGGATGCAGTGTTGGGCTAGATGGGAGCTGGTAAGCTGAGTCTGAAGCTTGGTAAGTCAGAAGTCCAGCGGGTGGGTGGCTTGCAGGTCGAGGAAACTGACCATTGGCCTGTTCCACCTGGACAGGGTTGCACTCCCTTTGAAGCAGCAGAGTTATAGCCGGGTGGGAACTTATTCACCTTTATCACTGAAGAGACTCAAGTGACTTCATTGGTTAGGAGCAGCATCTACGAGCTTTGGTGTCAAGGAGCTGTCAAGTGAACCCAGGTCGTCCACAGGGCAGTAAAGTATGGGAGGCCTGGAATGCATTTAGCTTTTTATTAGCAGAAAAACAACAACACAGCAGTGTTTTCTGGCTCCTGCTGAGACGTTGCTGAAACTGACTACTGGCCTCGTCCTTCCCCCTCTAGCCTCTCACTCTGGATCCCTCCCGAGTAGACAAAGACTGTGTCAAGGACTCCTCCTCTGGCCCTGTCTGGCCCTCTGCTCAGCAATTGCAGGATTCTCCTTGACTGGGGTGTCAGAGGGGGAGGAGAGGCAGAAAGGCTGGAACTGTCCTACTGCTGGGGAGCAAGGGCAACCCCTGACTCCTCTCTGTCTGAGTCTGTGCTCACACTGTGACTCTCAGCCTCTAACCCTGTCCTGAAAGGGCCTCCTTCTCCTGATCGCTCAAATGCCATAGCACCTCCCAGCTCATCCCTTCCACAGACTGCTCCTCAGTGTCCCATCACCAGGATCTAAATTATCATCTTCTGTGCCCTCCCTGGGGGGCTCTTGGGTGGGGGGACTCCCACCACGCTTCTTCATCCAGCCAGTCCCTGACACCTGCCTCGTATGCTGGTGGAGATCTGTCCACAGCGATCTATACATTGGTAATCGCAAGACTTGATCATTGCAAGTTTCGCAGTGGGGCCAAACTGCAGTTGGCGCAAAATGCTGCTGTGAGGTTTCTGTCTGGAGCTGACCATTGTCAACATGCTTTGTTGAAGCAGCGGCACTGGAAGCTCCAGGCCAGGTTCAAATCCTTTTTAAACCTTCACCCAGGTGACTGTGTTAATAATCCCAATGGCAACTTGGGCACATCTCAGAAAATATCCATACCCATTTAAGAAACTGTGCATTGAGGAATAAGTTTAAAGTGTTTTATTAAGAGGGTACGAGAAAAACTTGACTGCAAGACTAAGTGACCCAGACTTGGCCTAAAAGGCCACAACGGATGCTTGCTTCTGGTCCATCAACAAGTAGATCATGGCTGACAGCTGGATTTCCATGTTCTTTTATGCATTGCACACCCTCGGTTTGAACAGATCATCCTCTTTCCTAACAATGTTGCCACTAGAATATCATATGATCAGGAATGATTACTTAAAATATAAAAATAAAACAATCATTTCAGCATTTAGAATTAACTGCTATGATTCTCAAGGGGATGCTAGGAAGCAACCAGAAAGAGAAAGCAGTGAGCAGTGGAAGGAAGGAACAGAAGAGGGAGGCGTTGGAGGAACAGCACATATTAATGAAAGGAGGAACATACCTTCACTGAAACTGGGAATAGTGTGTCAGTGTAACCTCCCACACTGGATTGTCATGAGGATAACATGGAAGGGGAGGGAGGTCTGTGTCTGTGTCTCTCTCTGTGTGTGTTGGATAAAAATACATTTCTGGCAAAGATCAGAGTACTGATTTTCATAGGTGTAGCCGGATTTTTGTTAGGGGGTAGGTTCCAGGGAGATATCGCGAGAGCTTTGCAAAATCTTGTGAAATCTCATAGGGCTCTGCATGAGATCTTGCTGCTGCCGCTTCTCCTCACGTCCACCCCCTCATCCCTTCTGCCACAGAAGCCAGGAGAAGTGGCGGAAACATTGGCTTCTGGGTCCCAGCAAGATATGGCTAGAACACGGAAGCCACCACCCCTTCTTCCATCGCAGCTGCACAACCTTGGTCAGTGAGGTTTCAGTGGGGGACAGCAGTACTTTACTGTTTCGCCTCAGGTGGCAAAATGGGATGGGCTACCCATGGTTTGGTTCATTCATACTTAACAATCTGTCCGAGGAATTTCTGCTGTGAAATCCTATTCTTATGCCCCTAGTAAAGAGAATAACTAAAATGTGAATAATTTTGTTTCATTTCAGTTTTGTTTCAAACCCAAAATTATAATCCTGATACAAGTTATCTCAAGTTCTTTTTTAATCACTATCTAGCCTCCAGATCAGGACCGTATTTCTTGTATGGTCAAACTGTTGGCTTACAGACATTTAAACAGATTCACAATAATATTCTATAACATGTTATCATCCTGTGTAAAAGTACTGTATCAATCCTATTCAATGCCCTCAACCAGGGGTGGCCAAAGTGGTTCCCTCCAGAGACTACAACTTGCAACATCCCCACCCATTGGGCATGCTGGCTGGAACTGATGTGAGGAGTCCCAAACATTTGGAGGACACCACAGTATATCAAATAATTGCTCTGGACCTAGGAACCAATCTTGGCTGCACCAACTTAAAAAAGGCTGCTCTAAGGGTCACATTCTTATCAGTATCTCTAAATTTAAACTTTACTGGATTGAACTTTGGCCAACTGGTTATTTGGTCAAGGGCCTCAAAATTTTCTCTCTCTCAGGGATCTATGCAAGGAGGAGGTGGGACTTCTTCAGCAAAACCATGCTGTGAGTCATCAGCAGGTAATGTTCTTAGCACCATTTGGTGCAAGTTTGCTGGCTGTCAAAAGGCGTGAGGGTGGCTGAGTCAAGAGCTCTGCTTTCACTTCAGTCTCTACCTTCACCAGAGGGTCCAGGTCTGCGGTCCACCCTTGCAAACTTTGCCCTGACACCCAGGCAGCCAGTCTGCTTGTTCCTCTGCCATGCCTTTTCTATTTTTTAAAACAGTGGTTAGACTGTATATTTGGCCTATAAAACACAACGTTTAAATGGCAACACCATGAATTGTGAATCCCCCCTGGGAGAGAACTTCACCTCCAATGTGATTTCCTGGGTCATCGTAACTTTTATTTTGGGCTACAAGAACGCAATGACTGCACTGCTGCTACTGCTCACCCCAGACCCCATTTCATCTCAGTCTCCTTTGGGTCCCTTCTGACTCTACAGTTCTGTGATTCTATATGCTGGCAGTGAGGGACGGATCAATGGTGCACAGGACTTTCACATGCTGCACATCACAGGTAGATGCATTCCTCATGGGGGCTTAAACTTTAGGGGTGCATTGCACACTTCACAACTTACTAGCTTATATACACACTAAGTAGAAGAATTGAAGCAGTCAATACTAGTAGATTCCAGGAAAGACCAGACCTTTGGCCACTCAACTAGGCAAGAGACTTGCCAAGAGCTCCCCTTCAGTGCCCTGCCCTGATTTGCTCTTTTGTGGGTCTGGTCAAAACATAGAGAGGCACCGCACAGCACAGCCAAGAGGTGGGTCTCTAAAAGTAATTGCTATCTCACCCTAAAAACAAGGGGCTCTCCTATTTCCAATAGCAGCACTGCTTCCATTTGTCTTCATTTCTTTCTTTCTTTTGACTCTGCTGCCTTGTAGCATACATTTTTTCTTTTCTTCCTGGGGATCTGTGAGTGCCACCAGCTGAGAATGTTTGCAAGGGTATGTGGAGGTGGGATTTGGGGCAGGAGAGAGCTGTTGAAATGAAAGGCATCTCTCAATCTGTTTTACCAGCCCTCAGTAAACAGCCTTTAGAGAGTTTGCAACAAAGGGAGAGGAGAGTGAGGAAGCACAACCTGTATCTCTCACCCAGATCTGTCACACAGAGATTACAAATCTTTCTACTGCACTGAAATGAGCACTTGATCGGGTCAACTCCAAAGGATATTCCTTCCTTTCCTTTAACTTAGCCAAATCAGGATGATGGAAAATGGGTTTCCATATGAGGATAAGAAAGAGAGAATAACAGTAAGAACAACAATGTATAAAATATATCAACTAGGCAGGGTGTAAGAATAATTAAAAAATGCAGACCCTGCTGTCAGGTTCACAATCTAGTTAAAGAGAGGAATTAAAGTGCTTATAACTTCACTTTTCCAGAAACCTGCAGGGGAAGATGTTTGAGGTTAAAATTGCAGGAGCAAGTCTGGGTGCATGAAGCTTAAATTTGTCAGCAAGTGCGTGAGGTGAGAATGTGGAAAATGTTGACTGCTTACATGGCATGGGCATTAAGGAGGCGCCTTACCTTACAATTTCTATGATTTTTGACCTAGAGTGAATGTGCAAGCATTTTAGGGACCGTTTTCTGATCTTCCCTATTTTTTTAAAAAGGAAATTGGTCAAATTACATGCTCATTCACCACAGCCGTATAATGTGCAGTGCATTTTAAAGTGATGAAAAAGGGACTTAACATATATGATTTCAATAATTTTTAAAGCAGTAACATTCAATTTAATATTAGCTACAATTTGTTGAAATTTATTTATTTAAGGGGGAAATGTTCTGTACCTTTAGTAACTAGAGAGAAATCTCAGCAGTTGCTTTTGTGGAAAGATGTGAAAGAATAACAACTACAGGCAAACAAGGGTATTTTCTTATATTTATTAGAAAGAGACATATCCAATGTAGCAGTCTCTCTCTTTGCATTACTTTACAACATTTTTAAAATTCAGAATACTGTACAGCTGACACACTAAAAAGGGATGGAGAAAGCGAGAGGGAAACATAATACAAATTGATATTTAATCGAACAAGATCATATGAAACAACAAGCAAAGTGAAATGTATCAATATGTTTAATAATCATACAAACAATATAAATAAAGTTTCATGGAGTCATTGTAAAACAAATTTGCTGAATGAGGTAATAATAAAAAAATCTTTAAAAACCCAACTTTTTAAAATTTCCACACTGCTGTGTCATCATTTATACATTATTTACAGAAAGAAAGAAACTAAAATCAGCCATTGGCTAAGTATTGGCTGCCTCAAGTCGTGAATTCACCCACTCCCCTTCCTCCCATGCCAGTAGGAATTACATAACTGATGCTACAAAAGGAAACGTAGGTAGTTTGGGGAAATGGGATCAAATAACATTTGATGCACTATGAGAGCTAAATCACCACCACAAATTTTGGGACAATGTATCTTCTATAGAAAAAATCCTGCAACCATGCTCCCCACCCCCATTGTTCAGCCTGGACACTGAGCTCCTAGAACTATATTGTGGGTCTGATGCGAGAGCAAAGTCTTGAATCTCAAAAGCATGTAAACATGTGCTTAAGTTCCAGAGAAGCCAATGAGCATTATGTCAATGTCAGGAAAGCATGTTCACACCTTTTGTGAATTTGAAGAAAACATAACAAAAGACGAAGCTCTGGCAAGAAATCTGAATGCTTTATAAAATCACCCGTTCATTCAATATTTCTTATTCTACCTCTCTTACAATAATAAAACAGCTTGGAAACAACAAAGGTGAAAAATCAGCTACATCGTATCAGTGAAGGATATATATATATATATATTTTTAAGGAGACGAGGAACATCCCAAAAACAGTAGCCCAATAATCCCCAGAGGGCAGGACAGAGGCTGGAGATTTGGAACAGGAGACGGCAACCCCTGGCTCCCCTTCAGCACCGTAAACCTGGATTAGGAGCAGATAAGGATGGTTCAGGCAGTTACCGACAAGGGGCACAAACCAGGACACGTATTTCTGAAAAGGGGCTTGGCAACCTGCCCCCCTCCCTATAACTCTTAAGACACAGCACCTATTCTGAGCCCCCTGCAGCAGCATTACAGTAAAAACAAAACCCACTAGGAGACATTCTTTATGTCACATCTAGCTCAGCCTGTACAATCCTGCTCCTATGCAGGACCGGCTTGTATTAACCAGACACTCGTATATGTCGTACAATCTACATCTCTTTCTTTATCCACGCAGCACCCATATTTCTGTGGAACTATTTACATTAGACAATTTATACTTGTGAAGACGGAGTGATGCTCCGCAAGTCAGGTTGTTTTTCCTGCAACAGCATTGCTTAAATCCAGTCATTGCTCTCCCCCCCCCCCCCGGTAAAATGTTGTAGACATTGCTTTCACAGCTTCTTCCAGAAGCACAAAGCCCCTCCTCTTCCCCGATGGGAGGTGTTGTGAGCGGGAACCGTTCCCGTGTCGGCAGGGGGGCATGTTCGGCCCCCTGCATCATCTCCCCGGCTGCCACCCCGCCCTGCAGCGGGCCAGCCAATAGGGTTGGCCTGGGGGCGGGGTTTAGCTGCATTCAAGCAGCCATGGCAGCCTCCGAGCCTCATTTTGCTTCCTGGAAGACATCGGATCACCCGCCCTTTAGGCTAGGTTTGTGCTCTTGACCTTGCTATGGACCTTGGTTGGTCGCCCTGGTTGCCCAGGGGGCCTGGTAGTTTTTGTCCACTTGGCTAGATTGGCACCAGCCTCTTGGTTTTTCACCTACCTCGTAGCAATTCGTCACAACTTTTCCGGTTTGGGCAGTTAGGCATTGGAACATGTGTTGGGGGGCAGGGTGTGGCCATCACCTACCCTGCCCCATTTTGGGTATTCCATTATAGGAATCCGGTGGTCCTGGATCCTGTCCAATGCCCTGCTGGTGGCTAGGGCCATGGCATGACGCCCAGTGAAATCAGAGGAAGCTTTCAGTCGTATTTGCATCAACAAGCTCCTCCCACTGGTTGTTAACCTTCAAATGTCCCCCCCCCCCGCATGGGTGGGGTTGGATATAGGTTGTTTGATCAATGCCTAAGCCAATACCGCTCACATGCTGTAACCAATAAAAGTTGTGGCCTTTTCCAGCCCATTAACCTAAAATACTTGTGTCTGTGTCCATTATTTCTCCACTAAGCAGGTTAGGGTCCTTGACTCAGAAATGTCTTTCACTGTATGCTTCTTGAAAATGTTGTGGAGGGTGCCTGGGAGCCAGAAGCAAAGTATGGAAGAATCAGGGTCCGAACATAGCTTCTTGTCCTCCAGAATGGATCTCGTGGAATGGCCGACTTCTGGGAAGGATTTTAGATAACAATTACAGGTTCAATGTTGTGGTAGCACTGAATTGTTTTTAGCTTTTGTCTCCTTTGTGGGTTCTGTGGTTTTGAATTGCGAGGCACGAGTAGGAAAAAGGGTATGTTGTAGAGAAGGAATGAATGTTGAAACTGGCTGAGAGAGATACCAGTGAAAAATCCTTTACACGCAACAACAAAACATACATTTATCTGTATTTAACACTCCTGTGGTATTTTATTTCTTTGTGACTATTTTCCATTGAAGGGGAAAATAACTGGAGAAAATAAAGCACATAACTGAATTTGTGCTGAGAAGACCAGAAGAAATACTTTTGTAATGTTGTCTGGTAACTTGAGCCAAGAGTAGCCTCACAGACACAAACTACAGTCTTTGTGCAACAATGCTTGAGTTGGCCGCCTTATTCCATTGGTTTTCTGTTTTCATGTATTCAGGTCTGTGAGTATTTAAATGAAATAAAAGAGCCACGGGAATTTCGCAGCATGAGTCCACATCTGTGGCTTTGAAGATGTTCAGCCAGATACTAGTTTTAATGTGGCTTCCATAATACTACTTATTTGACACTAGCAATCGGCTGATGCCTTCCCTTCATCACTGCCATGTTCATCAGAACCTGGGGTTGCAGACTCTCTGGTCTTTTAGGGGAGGCGCTGTGACGCCCTCCTTTGTTGGGCAAGGGACAATTTCCTAAGCTTTCTTCCTGACAGTTTACTAAAATAAGGCTTGACAAAATACAATTTAGTGGTACAAAAACTAAGTACTTTCTGTTGACCTCATTTGGGGTACTCTTGGCCATTACCACAATGAAGGGGCTGGTGTGTCATGTGATATTATAGCTCATATCCAATTGTCCTGAATGTCAGCAGTTCTCATGAACAATTGGATGCCCCGTCCCCGTGGTAGTTTTTTAACACATTTTGATAATCAGATCCCAGACAATATATTTTTAACTGCTAACCACTTTAACAGCAATGCACTTTCATTTATTCCCCCCCCTTAAACTATTTTAAAATTTTTCAACTTCTAATTACTTGTGGCATAAAACACTCAAAAGTTTTTGAAAGGTCAACAAAGACCTGTTTAAGTGAAAGATCAGCATAGCAGCTCACTGCATTCCACGAGCATATGTATTTTAATTGTGAAATTATACTTGTTTGTTTGTTTTAAGGGAGAATATTTGAAGTGATATCTTTAAGAAGTGCATGTGTATCATAGAAAATGTGACAGATTCTACAAGCCCAGAGTGTTAACCTTTCATGTAGCTAAAGCATAGGCATAATTGTGTTTGGACTAACACAGCTTTCCTTGACCTACTGGCAGTGTCAGCTCTTTAATAGATTGTGTGGCAATTTGAAGTTCTCTGAATGTGTATCTCCTAAGCATCTCTGTTAGGAACCCTCAAGTCTCCATCTCCATCTTAGCCTCCTTTTGGAAAGAAAGGGAAGCTTATATTTATATTTTTGCATCAGTTTCATGGTCTAGGGAACCTTTGATCTAGTATTTTTATTAGCATATGTATTTTAATGCTACCCATAACCACTTCTTCTTTTCCCTTCCCCTAGGAGTATACACATTAAGATGTTAACACTCCATACATTTACATGTGCAGTTTGTTCATAATAGTATAAAAACTGTAAGGCGCAAAAAGGATTTTTTAAGCTTTGGTGTAAGCCAAACAGCGGTAGGTGATCTCAGGCTAATGTGAACTCCAGTGATTTCTCTTTTGCTAGCATTTGCACAGGACGGCAAGTATGTTTGCTATAGAGAATAGTCACATTTTGAACCAATGCTGGGATCCTCTGCTCGCAGGGGATAAGCAGAACAAGATGCACTGAACTCACAGATATACAAATACTATATATATATTAACCCACATATTTTCAAATTCAGAAGGAACATGTAGTAATATACAAGAGGGGGAAGACGAGAAGAAATTGCAACTTTCCTTAACTGACAGTTAAGCACATCAGTGCAATTCACCTCTACCAAACTGAACATTTGGATTTCATTCCCTTTTCTGAAGAGCTTGACGGCATAAATCAGAAGGAAGCACAGAGTTTGTCAGGTCTGAAGCTCCTATGATGGTATGTGTCAAATCAGTTGTAGCTAATCTGTCCAGGGAGAATACTGGCTTCATTACACTTGTATAGTTGAGTTCTTCCAGCATTACTGCTGTTTAATAGAACATGATTAGTCATCACGGAGAAAAAAGCATATTAGCTGAGGAGGTAGTTACATGGCACGCTTCGGTGATTGCTTGGATGTGATTGCAATATTCTTAGAAGCATCATATTATCTCAGACATGTTCTTTCAAGCCCTTGGAGCCCTCCTTTCTAAATTCACTGTCATAATTTAGTATCTGTTTAATTTTTCAGTCCAAAGAGAGGAAATCAGTTGCTGAGTATTATTTGACTGCAGCCTCCTTGGTGTAAAAACAAAATGGAAAAAATAAATAAGAATAGCTATGAAATGCAAAAAGGATTAATGAATACTGCTAAGGAAAAAATATTTCAAGCTCATTTATGAGAATAACTACATAAAAGGCTAATTTTTTCCATTGTGAGAAATACATTGTGTCACTTTCACCAATATAAATGTGTTGAGTTTCACCCTAAATTATTTAGATTGTGTATTGTGTCTTGGGGGGGGGGCTGGGTTACTGCTTTCGGTTTGATTTTGTATGTTGTGCTCTTGTTTGTGAATCGCCCTGAGACCTCCGGGTATAGGGCAGTGTATAAACTGAAATCATCATCACCATACAAGTAATGGCATTGCTGGAGAATTAAAATTCTGTTTCACTTGTCTCTTCTGCTTCTTCATCTCTTTAACTAAAGGCATAGATTTCCATTGAAGATTGCATCACGGAAGAATAAACTTACTATAAAATGGGGGAAGGACTTTAAAAGTCTGGATTCCTTATATTATCTAAAATTAATATTCCCTTAAATTATTATCTAAAATTAATATTCCCTTAAAACCGATACGGAACAGCATGATGTAGCAATGAGGTCTGTGGCCCACATTGACCTCCATTTGGGGGGCAAGTTTGCTTTAACCTATTAAAAGTGATTAGGAAAATTAAATGTGGACATAATAAATGTCAAGCACAGATTTTGCTCATGGGATTTATAACTCCTGTTTTGTAAATCCGTGTTTATTCATTTTAGCTGTAACTCTTTGAGAATGCTCATGTAAAGGACCAAAAATGTGATCATTTGTTTTTGTTTTGCTTTTTGTGAAGAAAACAATTGCAATTACATTTGCCAAATTTCATAATCAAACCTTTGCCATTTTTCTTTATTTCAACAGAAAGGGTGTGGGAATGAGGTTATGTGCCCTTTTGCTTCAGTAGTCCAAGATTGTTTTGGTTTATACTACTTTATGATGATTTGTACAGTGATTATAAGGTTTGTACTATAAATATATTTTGGCACAAACAATTGTGTGAAGTAATTAATTTTTAAACTACAACTCTTCTTCTTTTGAATAGTGCTTAATAAATGGTTAATCTTTATAATGATTTGTACTCCCAAGCACGCTGGCTCCCAAGCACCCTCCGCAACATTTTCAGGAAGCATACAGTGAAATACGTTTGTGCTTCTGGAAGACAATGGTCTGCCTTTCCAAACCGTATTTCCCAACACCTTTTCTGTTAACATGTGCCAGCATCTTAGACAGATATGCTTTTCATCAAAGGAAAAAATATTTCTTTGTCTGGAGTGTTTTCACAATCTGTTACTACAATCTGTGATCCCTTAGATCCTAAATATCTGCACATTATTTCACATCAATTATAGTTTTTAAATTAACCGAAGTATTTTTGCCTTACAAAAAAAATCAATGCATACTTATGAACATTTAAAAATTTGAATAGAATCTTTTACATACACATAACCAAAAGACACAATACACAATCTAAATAACTGATAACTGATTTGACACATACCATCATAGGAGCTTCAGACCTGACAAACTTTGTGCTTGATTCTGATTTATGCTGTCAAGCTCTTCAGAAAAGGGAATGAAATCCAAATGTTCAGTTTGGTAGAGGTGAATTGTATGAATGCTAAACATGTTCACATTAATGTTTTGTGTGAATGTTAAACATGTTCACATTAATGGAGCTCCCTCATCTGCTAATTCCCCTGGGTTCTACCCACAGCCACCCATCCTTTCTGGGGGGAAGGATCATAGTATTTCACTGCTCCACCTGGACTACTGTGACGTTAACTTATGAGAGTGCTGGAGGTGAAATAGTTAAACAGGTTACCCAATCAGAACCCAGGGGGGTGGAGGCAGAGGGAGTATAAAACCAGCTCTGGGAGGAGTGAAGGGGAGAGTTCCTTGGGAGGTTGGTTGGAGTGGGAGTGAATTGGGATAGAGTCTGGGGGTAGGTGCAGTTAATGTAGCGAAATAAGCTGAGTCAGGAACAGTTAGGAGCTAGGAAGACAAGTAAATATCTGAGAGGTGGTTTAGTGAGTGAGAGCAGGTAGCGGATGTTATAGGTCTGGATAGGCACCCCATGATTGTAATTGACTGAGACCGTTTATGAAACCACACGCTTGTTAAACTGCAATAAATAAACAGAAGTTTATGTTCCAATTTAACCCTGACTGGACTCAGTATTTACCAGGTAGGGCCTGGGCGGTGGCAGCGAGAAATAAAGTGGTGGCACAGGGATCAATAGACGGTGAAACGTCCAGAGACCCTGTGTGATCGCCACAACTACTTCTCCATGGAAGACATAGTCTCAACAGGGGTATCTCCACACCACTTTCAGAGTATAAGTCTTCCAGAAATCAACGCTGGTGGCATTAAGCAATGTCTACAACATTTCACCTGTTGTTTCCCTCCAGTAACTCTCATGCAATACTTGCCTTGAGAGCTTTGCCTCGAGACACCCAGTCAATGGTCCCATGTCATGTGCTATCATTAGTGAATCCATGACCTCTCTTTGTCTTCCCTCTTCCCCTCCTATCTACAGTTTCATCTTTTGAGTTCTTATTATTAAAACAAATGGTTTCTGCAGTCCTCTTTTCTCCTGCTTGTCTTTTTACAGTAGCCAGGCAATTCCTGCCCTCTCTGGAGAAACTGAGAACTGAGGAGAAAAGAAGGGCTATTTTACAGACTCATGGGCTTCAGCTGTGAAAGCAATGTCTACATGTCTACAACATTTCACCGGGGGGGGGGGAGAGGGGGGAGCAATGCTGTTGCAGGAAAAACAACCTGACTTGCGGAGCATCACTCCGTTAATGAAGTAAACATTTCATTTCATTGTGTGCACCTGCAGGTATCATGTGTCACCTCTTGCACCCCTTGTGGTCTTTCACAAATGCAAAGGATAAACATTGGGCATTCATCACGCTGGAGAAAATGGCTCAGAAAAGTCAGAACAAAGTTTGAATATAATTGGTGGCACCTTTAAGGCACCACAAGACTTTGTTGTTTTTGCACAATTCATCAAATATGGCTTTATATACTGCAAATACCTCTATGTAATTTTACAGCATAAATCAGGTTTCCATAGATAGATGTTCATGTATACAATAACGTACATCTATGTGCCTATTTTATATGCACAAATCTGAAAGTACATGAAGTGGGTCTTCACAAGTATAAATTGTCTAATGTAAATAGTTCCACAGAAATATGGGTGCTGCGCGGATAACGAAAGAGATGTAGATAGTACGACATATACGAGTGTCTGGTTAATACAAGCCGGTCCTGGATAGGAGCAGGATTGTACAGGCTGAGCTAGGTGTGACATAAAGAATGTCTCCTAATGGGTTTTGTTTTTACTGTAATGCTGCTGCAGGGGGCTCAGAATATGATAGAGCTACTGGGAGGAGGGCAGTACTTAACTATTTTCCCATAGGCCATTTTCCCAATCATAATATCTCTCCCCATCTGCTTTTCTCTCTGAGGGGGAAAAAGATACGTGAGCAAAGTATCTAAGCAGCTAAAAGTATTTAGCAGGCAAATGATCAGGGGGAAAGAGTTAAAACACCCTTTTCCTGTCGCTTCTCTAAATCTGGGGACACACCCCATACCATAGTTACATTAAAGTGAAAATAGAAAGCATTGGGAGACACGCCACATCTTTCCCACTGTATCTGGCTTGGCCTAAATAAAACAAGATGCTTTGAGCATCATGGAGAATCCTTGAAAAGGGTGAGTGCATGGTTTTCCTCTTTAAAAACAACTAAATATATCATTATAATCCTGTACTCATAACAAACATGTCACACTCCACTTATGCCACATGCAAATATGGAATAGTCAGATCTGTTGTCCCTGTGATTTAATATATTTTGATTCAGTGCATGGCACTTTTATCCAAGAAGGTGGCAGGGAAGGAAATGCAAGAGGAACAGTGAGCTTATGAGGCAGGAGTTGTTCTTACAGTATCAAGTGAAGTTCTGATTTTCGCATTCAGCCAAATAGCGGCATTTGACTCTAGGAATGACAAGCTGCTCTTTTGCAGTCAGGTGTTTTGAATAATTAAATTTCAGGTTTTACTTCCACTTGTATAGAATTTGTATATAAGTGTTGCTGAGGAGCACACTGAGCAGGGAGTTTAAAAATTGGAAGTGATGGCTGAGGTAATTGTTCTCTTAAACTTCCCCCTACTCTTCTTTCATGTATTCTAGTTTCTTCAGGTGTGAAAATAACTTTTGTTTGGGTGCGGTTGATACATATTAGGGTGAAGTAGTTATTTAGAGCACTCAATTCATATCTGAAGTTTTTGTGTTGGTAGTTGAATTACATGCTTTCCTTTTTCTCATCTGGTTAACCTTGGGAGAAAGAAAAGGATGCCCACCATCATCTGAAAATACTGGTTCTTGTTTTCTGACATTACTAATATGTTATGAGTACAAGATTATTACGATATATTTAGTTATTAGGAGACAGCAACCCCCTGGCTCCCCTTCAGACCAGTTACTGACAAGGGTCACAAACCAGGACATACTGTATGTTCCGGCATATTAGGCGACTGGGCGTATAAGACGACCCCCCAAATTTTGCAGTTAAATTATAGAGTTTGGGACAGAGCGCACACACCTGCTGTCGCAGCAGCAGCAGCCCAAGGTGAGGCGTTTGGTGGGCGGAACAAAACCGAAACCCACCACTTGGAGGGAGGCCCGGCCCAGCCCTCTCCCTCCCTCCGGGAAAAGGCCATGAGCGGCCGCCTCAGCCTCCACTGCCCTCACCTGTGGGGATGCCCAGCTCCTTGTAGCCCCGGCCGAAGCCGCGCACCACCTCGTCATGACAGGCTCTTCATGGTGCTCGTGAGCCAAGCGAAGCTCCACGCGGCCACGGCGGAGGCCGGATCCAGCTCCCACAATGGCAGCAGCAGCAGCAGGTGGGCGAGCGCCACGCTCGGAAGGACTTTCCGGGGTGAGGTGGCCAACGAACATGTGCTGTGCCAGTACGGAGGAGGCGGGGCCTCACGCTGCGTCACAGGAGGCTGCGTCCCCTTAGTGTTCTTCCGTGATAAATTAGGAGTAGGCATAATAGGAACAGCAGCAGTGCAAGGATGCCCACCATCATCTGAAAATACTGGCTCTTGTTTTCTGACACTACTAATATGTTGTGAGTACAAGATTACTACGATATTATTTAGCTATTAGGAGACCCACAGCAACCCCCTGGCTTCCCCTTCAGCACCATAAACCTGGATTAGAGCAGATGAGGATGGTTCAGGCAGTTACTGACAAGGGTCACAAACCAGGACATACCGTATGTTCCGGCGCATTAGGCGACTGGGCGTATAAGACGACCCCCCAACTTAAATTATAAGAGTTTGGTCGCCTGCCAAGTGTCACCAGGGGCAGAGCATGCACCCCTGCGCTGCCTCTGCCACTGCAGCAGCAGCAGCCCAAGGCGAGGCATTTGGTGGGCGGAACGAAACCGAAACCCGCCACCTGGAGGGAGTGAGGCCCGGCCCGGCTCCCTCCCTCTGGGAAAAGGCTGCGAGCGGCCGCCTCGGCCTCCACCACCCTCAGCTGTGGGGATGCCCAGCTCCTTGGAGCCCCAGCCGAAGCCGTGCACCACCTCGTCACGGCAGGCTCTTCATGGTGCCCGCAAGCTGAGTGAAGCCATGGCGGAGGCCGGCTCCCACGACCGCAGCAGCAGGCGGGCGGGTGAGCGCCGCGCTCGGAAGGACTTTACGTGGTGAGGCGGCCAACGAACACACACTGCCAGTACGGAAGAGGCGGGGCCTCGCGCTGCGTCCCCTTAGTGTTCTTCCGTGATAAATTGGGATAAAGTGGGGTCACGCAAGAACACTAAGGGGACGCAGCCTCTGACGCGGCCGCTCATGGCCTTTTCCCGGAGGGAGGGAGCCGGGCCAGGCCTCCCTCCCTCCAGGTGGCGGGTTTCGGTTTTGTTCCGCCCACCAAATGCCTCGCCTCGGGCTGCTGCTGCTGCAATGGCAGAGGCAGCGCAGGGGTGCACGCTCTGCCCCTGGCGGTGCTTGGCAGGAGACCAAACTCTATAATTTAACAGCAAAAGTTGGGGGGTCGTCTTATACGCCCAGTTGCCTAATGCGCCGGAACATACGGTATGTCCTGGTTTGTGCCTCTTGTCGGTAACTGCCTGAACCATCCTCATCTGTTCTAATCGGTTTCACACTGCTGTTGTTCCTATTATGGCAATCCCCATTTATAACGGGTGAACACTTAGGACAAAACGCTCATCTGGGCAGCCGTACTGCAGGAGAATCTCAATGCACTCTTGGTTGGTGGCTTGCCTGGCATAGGCCAAAGCACCGTTTCCATGGGCATCGCGGGCCATAACATCAGCACCATACTGTGGAAAGAACATGCAGCATTTAGGAGCAGTAGCCGGCAGAAACGCCTGAAATAAATAATTCTCATTACCTAGTTTTAAATCTGAACAGCTTTCTGTTGTGCATCCAGCTACCAGAGCCGAGGTCAGCAGCACTCCTTCCTCACTCATGGAGAAGTGAGCATCATGCATGCTGCCCCTAGATGCGCTCGTCAACTTTCAAGGAAGAGCATTTTTAAATTAAGCAAGCTCTTTTAAACTATATACACATTTTAAGGGATACACACTGTACACTGATTCTGAGCTGCCAGCATTCATAAGACTTTTGCACCAGGTTGGAATATGTACATGCTAGGGGAATGTTAGGGAACGTACATCTTGTAAATTATGCATAATAACTGCAGAATGTACAAAATTAATATATATGTACAATCCCCAAGGTTTGTAGATGGATTCAGAAACGTGCAGTTTCCTCTTCTTCTTCTTTTTTAAAAATTAATTGATTCTTGCAATAATACAACACAACAGTGATATAAACAATAAATAAATAAATAAATAAATAAATAAATAAATAAATAAACCGTTGGCATTTTAACATTACCTTCTATAAACATATATCAAAATATTGTTTTTCATTTTCATTTTCACCCTCTTAATTCCCTGTGACTTCCCTCCACCTGTGTTTGGCATCATTAAATTTAATACAGTATCTTAAAATTGTGTTTGAGCAATATATTAATACTATTAACCATAAGATCTTATACTTTGTTCCTCTTAACTTCGTGGGTTTCAGTTTAAACATATCAACAAATTACTTTTGGAACATTGTTTTGCCATGTATTCCTCTACACATTCCCATTCTTTCTTTAAATTTTGATTAGATTGTAATCTGTTTGCTGCTGTCATTTCTAATTGAATTCTAATTGAAATTTTGATTCTTCTTTTTGGAATCCATTTTTGTCTGCTTTAAATATATCATTTAATTGATAATATTGTAACCAGCTCGTACAATGGCGAGAAATTTCTTCATAAGATTACGATTCTAACTGTCCTTGTTCTTCTTTTAATAATTGTTTATATGTTGCCCAATTTGTATCCATATTTTTCTTTTTTATCGAAATTGCCTCTAATGGTGCGGCCCACCATGGAATCTTTGGCTCGAATAAATTTTGATACTTACTCCAAATTTTAAATAAAGAATTTCTGATTATATAATTTGAAAATCATTGATGTACATTTGTCTTATTATAAACTAAACAGGTGTGCCATCTGTACCTGTTGTTGAATCCCTCAAAGTCCAATATGTGCGCATTTTCCTCTGTTTCATCCATTTAATATTGTTTTCTATTTCATAATTTAGTAAAGTTGACAATTGATTTTGCAAAAGTTTAATTTTTTGGCTTGAACTCACATTCTTTGGATGTTTGGCTAATATTTTTTCATTCTCTTCTATTTCATTTCTAATTTGACCCATTTCCCCTTCTCTGCTTCTTCTTTGTATCATATTTTGTTGGATATAAAGTTCTCTTATATAGGCCTTGCTTGAGTCCCATATCACCCTGATGTCTGTTTCATGTGCCATGTTTATTCGGATAAATTCCTTAAGAAGTTGTGCTTTGTTCAAAAATTTTTCATCATTTATAATTTTTTCATTCATTCTCCATCTTCTTTTTATTTGTCTGTTATTTTTTAATTCTAACGTAATTGAATTGTGGTCTGTTATTGATTTGCGTTGTATTTCTATTTTTTTTAATCTTCAAAATTAAATTAATTGATGTCCATATTCCATCTATTCTTTCTGCTGATTGTCTAGCCTCTAAATAATGTGTGTATTGTTTTTCCTTTGGATATCTGGGTCTCCATGCATCTTTTAAATTTAGGTTGTCCACCATTTGAAAAAATGTGTGTGGGAGTCTTCCCTCTTTCTCTCTGTTCGATCTAATTCCACTGAGGTAACACCATTAAAATCTCCTAGTAGGGTAATTTCTTCATTTATATATTCTAATAATTTTTCTTCCACTGATTTACAGTACAGTGGTACCTCGGGTTAAGGACTTAATTCGTTCCAGAGGTCCATTCTTAACCTGAAACTGTTCTTAACCTGAAGCACCACTTTAGCTAATGGGGCCTCCAGCTGCCACTGCTGCCCGATTTCTGTTCTCATCCTGAAGCAAAGTTCTTAACCCGAGGTACTATTTCTGGGTTAGCGGAGTCTGTAACCTGAAGCATATGTAACCCGAGGTACCACTGTAATGTGTTTTATTCCCGTTTGGGGCATAAACTCCTATCACAAATATTTATTCTTTTCCATTCCTTAATTGTATTCCCAATAATCTACCTTCTTCATCCTTAAAGATTTGTTTTGCCTCTATTTTAGGGTTTGTATACATTACAATTCCCCTTTTCTTTTTAATGTCTGACAAAATGAATTCCGTTCCAAGTTTTTAATTGATCAATCCTCTTCTCTGTTTTCTGGCCACATGAGTCTCCTGCAAGCAGATTACATGCAGAGTTTCCTCTTCATGGGTGGATTATGTGCACATTCTCCATGTGGCCTGGTGAATGTGCAGAATGGCCAGTTGTTTTGCCCATTAACTGTTCCACTTCTATTTCCCCTAATGCATATATACCACCACAACACTCCAAACACTTGTATCCAATCAAACACATAAGCTGTAATATATGGCCTGGATAAACCAAAGTGACAGTTCAAACACACCCATTAATGCAGAGCTACTCTCTCAAATTCATGTAGCACATACTCACCCAAATTAACAGTTGCACCAACACTACATTTCCTTTCCGGGATGCTATATGTAAGGCCGAACGCCCGTCTCCATCTCCACAGGTTTCATTGACTTCTTCTCGTGTCCCATGAGCAAGAAGCAGGATGACTGTTCGCAAATCTTCCTCCGCAGTTGCTCTTAGCAGGTACTGGCCTAAGGAAAACTCTGAGCACTGCAGTGAAGCAAGGAAGAGCTTCTGCTCATATTTGGCTCGGATCCAGTGCTCTTTTTCTTCCCTAGGGAAGCAAACAAACATATCATTCAATATTAGATCATGCATCTCCTACAGATCCATCCTTGTGTTAAGTTTGTTCTAACACATGCCTAGTTTTGCAGATAATCTGGACAATCTAATAGTTGGGTTGAAATGAGGGCATTTTTAATGTTAGCGGGTTTTGTTATTTAAAAAAAAAACCCCAGACACTTGAAATTCTGGTTTTTATTTTATTTTGGATAAAAGTAGCAAGAGAACAGTTGTATACTGTGGAAATACGCTATTTATTCCACTTTCTAGGACATCTGGGCCACAAGTAAGAAAGACAGAATGGTAAGAATGTAGATTTATGGTTCAAATACACCACAACGCTAATATATGCCATGTAATTCACCAGAGGTCAGGAGAAAATGCCATCTCTACTTATAAGAAAGAACAGTAAATACAGATGCATCCTCTGAATTGCACAAATGCTCCCACAAGCTATTCTCCTAGATCAGCCCTCCCCAACCAGGTGCCCTCCAAATGTTGGGATCCAGCTCCCATCATGCACAACTAGTATGGCCATTGGTCCGCGATAATGGGAGTAGTACAAAACATATGGGCAACTCCAGGTTGGAGGAGGCGGTCCTAGATTATACAAACACAATGTGTCAAGTTTAATGCATTTGACTGGGGGCCCCTTCATACCCTATACAGGTGTGGGGAAAGAAAGTGGATTTCTTTTGCTGGGAAGCAGCACTTTTGCAGTTGCCAATGACGGCACGTTGGCAGAACAGACAAGAGGATCTTTATGTATGATAGTATGCACTGTGTACATGGTCACACACCAGTGTACATCCTTGGAGATAAAACACTGATTGAATGGGAGAAAGAAATGGGCACTGTTGGTCTCTCAGACTCCTACAACTTATCACATATATTGATTCCAATATTCAGGGGAGAGTGCCATTGCTTCTGTAGCTGAAATGACACCAGGAGTGTACAAGAGGAAAATGCCATCGAACTTGGGGTGGGCATGGGGGAACCTGGAGGCTTGCAAAACTACAAAAAGTCTTTACAAAGATATCCTGACGGGGAACCAGGAAATGGGCTCAATAAAGAACGAGCATACTCAGTGACCACAGAATTCTGGAAAATTAGCAGCGGGCTAATAGAATGGAGTATCTGGTTCCTGCCACCGTTACAGTAGACTTGCAGAAACTGATCCCAAATAAAGTTACTTTTGAAGACATCCTTGTTCATTGTGGTAATCTCTTTAAACAGAAAGCCACTTCAGCCCAAAGTAAGGAAGTGTGGTCATGCCTTGGCTTTAGTTCTTCAAGTACAAAAATAAACAGTCCTTTGAGGTTTTGCAGCAATGCTTACCCTTCTTCTAGTAATGTAGTGTCAGGTTAGCTTTAATCTGTTTTCAAATGCTTATGTAAACAGGTCATTTACAAAGTAAATCTGGATTAGTTTTGCATCACTTCATGGTGAGCAAGGATGACCTTAACATAACCTCCCTGAATACTTTTATGCAAACCTTCCCACATCATGTGCTTCACAAAGGTAAGAGATTTCATCTATAAAGGACATTCTCCCACCCTCACATATCTGAAGCAGGATGCTACCAAATAGCTGTGAAAAGCTTTTATTTCTTTTTGTGAACATGATTTTTATTGGTTTTTCCCCAAACTTTAAAAATAAAAAATAGACTGGGTACCATTTCAGTATATTTTGGAATACTTGCAGTTCAATCTTATGCATGTCTAACTCAGAAGTAAGCCTCTCTCATTTCAACAGAGCTCACTTCCACATAAGTGAGTACACAATTGCTGCCTTGGTCTGTAAGCAACAAAATTAATTAACGATGTCTGTGTGTGAGTAGAACAGACTTCTGCTTGTATAACAGGGACTTCATTTTCCTCTCCTCTCTCTCCTCTGAAAATTTGCTCAAGGGGGTTGGGGGACTATTCAGTGCACATTTGGGGGCTGCAGGGGGGTGAGGCAGGATGGTGAAGCCCCATGGAATGGGCAGGAGTCCATTTACACAATGCTGGAAAAACCTAGACAGCAGAGACATCACCTTGCCAACAAAGGTCCATATATACTTCAAGCTATGGTTTTCCCAGTAGTGATGTATGGAAGTGAGAGCTGGACCATAAAGAAGGCTGATCGCCAAAGAATTGATGCTTTTGAATTATGGTGCTGGAGAAGACTCTTGAGAGTCCCACGGACTGCAAGAAGACCAAACCTCTCCATTCTGAAGGAAATCAGCCCTGAGTGCTCAGTGGAAGGAAAGATCGTGAAGCTGAGGCTCCAGTACTATACTTGGGCCACCTCATGAGAAGAGAGGACTCCCTGAAAAAGATTCTGATGTTAAGAAAGATGGGGGGCACAAGGAGAAGGGGACAACAGAGGACGAGATGGTGGGACAGTGTTCTCGAAGCTACCAGCATGAGTTTGACCAAACTGCGGGAGGCAGTGGAAGTGTGCCGGGCATGCTCTGGTCCATGGGGTCATGTAGAGTCGGACACGACTAAATGACTAAACAACAACAAGCAAAAAGCTCTTGGGGCACTTTACAAAAAGAAGTTATAACCAGGATGTATAAAAACAGACCTAAGGTATTTGTTAAAAGTTTAACAGAATAAAATAGGGTACTGAAAACAATAGTGCAAAGAACCCCCCAAAAAGCATTAAAAATCTAAAAAGTCTAGGAAAATACAAAAGTCTTCATCTAATCCAAAAATACTATAACTGATGTACCAGGTGAGCCTCTCTGGGTAGGGAATCTCACAAATGGAGTACTACAGCTGTAAAGGCCCTTGCAGAGCTCATCTGGTAGGGACACTCTGAGAAAGGTCTCTGAGCTTATGGTCTCCACAGGTATTTTTTTTTTTTAAATAAATTTTTATTAATTTTCCATAAGTAAAAAAGAAAACAAAGCAAAAACATAGATAAAGACAAAAACGACTTTCCCGTACCACCCCTTTTCTGCATTCTTGTTTCAAGATTTTTCAGCAACCCTTTCGTATTAAACTTATTTCTATTTCGTAAATTTAACTTCCATAAGATATTAAAACAACTGTAGTTCTTTATCTCTTATTACCCTGATCCTCTAATTTTCCAAATTACAACAGTTTTTAAGATAAACTTTAAATTTGTTCCAGTCTTCATCCACCGCCTCTTTCCCCCGGTCTCGGATTCTGCCAGTCATCTCTGCCAGTCCCATATAATCAATCACCTTCGTCTGCCATTCTTCCAATGTGGGTAGATCTTGTGTCTTCCAATACTTTGCTAGAAGGATTCTTGCTGCTGTTGTAGCATACATAAAAAATGTCCTATCCTTCTTTGGCACCATTTGGCTCACCATACCCAGGAGAAAGGCTTCTGGCTTTTTATTAAAAGTTCTCTTCAGAACTTTTTAAATTTCATTATAGATCATTTCCCAGAAAGCCTTAATCTTCGGGCAGGTCCACCAAAGGTGATAGAAGGTTCCCTCCGTTTCATTACACTTCCAACACTTGTTATTGGGCAGATGATAAATCTTTGCTAACTTAGCCGGAGTCATGTACCACCTGTAGATCATTTTCATAATGTTTTCTCTTAAGGCATTACATGCCGTAAATTTAACACCAGTGGTCCATAACTTCTCCCAGTCAGCAAGCTCAATGTCATGCCCTATATCCTGTGCCCATTTAATCATACTAGATTTCACCATTTCATCTTGAGTATTCCATTTCAACAGCAAGTTGTACATTCTTGACAAGTTTTTAGTATTGGGTTCTAACAGTTCTGTTTCTAGTTTTGACTTCTCCACTTGGAAGCCTTTCTTTCTGTCCTGTTTGAATACTTCATTTATCTGTCGATAATGTAGCCAATCTCTCACCTTAAACTTCAGTTTCTCGAAACTCTGCAATTTTACTTTTTCACCATCTTGTTCTATCATTTCAAAATATTTAGGCCAATTAGAACCCATATTCAATTTTTTCACCTCTTTTGCCTCCAATGGTGACAGCCACCTAGGGGTTCTGCTTTCAAACAGATCTTTATACTTTATCCAGACATTATACAGCGCTTTCCTCACCATGTGGTTCTTAAAGCCTTTATGCACTTTTACCTTGTCATACCATATATATGCATGCCAACCAAATCTGTTATCAAACCCTTCAAGATCCAAAATGTCTGTATTCTCCACATTGTAATGCATATGTATGGGAGAAGATACTTCAAGTAACTGGTCCTCAAGCTGTTTATGATTGTAAAGGATTACCGTATTTTTCGCCCCATAGGGTGCACTGGCCCATAGGACGCACCTAGTTTTGGAGGGGGGAAATAAAGAAAAAATATATATTTCCCCCCAGGCACTGGGCTGGGACGGGGGAAGCCTGAGCTTCCCCCGACCCCAGCCCCCAGAACAGGCAGCTCTCCGCAAGCCTTGGGAGAGCGGCGCGACTTCCCGCCGGGCTCCCACGCCTTGTGGATATCTGCCTGAAGCCCAAACCAGGTTGGGGAACAGCGGGATGGCGGTGCTGCGCCCCCCCCCGCTGTCCCCCAGCTTGTGGGGCTGGCGGCAGGATTACAATCCTGCTTTTGGAAGCCGATCTATTATGATCAGTAATGCTTTATAATATAGTAGACTATAATATATAACGCATTGCAGTAATCCAATTAGGAGGTTACCAGAACACGGATAATTGTAGCAGGGTTACCTCTATGTTGGTGTACTATTACTAATAATAAGTGTTCTGAGTTACTAAGGCCACTTAAGCTCAAGAGGGTGTGAAAAATCCAATAGCACCCTCAAAGTATACATTAGATTACTTAAGGGGAAGCACCACCACCTCCAAACAGGTTGAACCACTGACCACTCAGTGATCAGACAAACCACCCAATAATAGCACTTCACTCTTGTCTGGCTTCAGCCTCAGTTTATTGGCCCTCATCCAATCCACTACAGCACCTATGCACTGGTTCTGAACACCCACTGCCTCAATTGGATTTGCTGAAAGGGAGCTGGGTGTAATTCACATATTG